GGGAGGGTCTCTCGCGCCATTCGCGATTTCCTACACTCGCAATAAATTTCATTAAACGCGAGTTAAATGCTTTATTTATAACTACGAAACTCGACCATAAATAATTCCTCCCTTGACGCGCACTTTCTCGTTGCATGTATTTCAGAGAAAGAGAGAGAGAGAGAGAGAGAAAGAGAGAGAGAAATAGAGACGCTTATATACGCTCGCTCAAAAAGTGAAGAAGAGGATGAAATGAGAAAATGAGTAAAACAAAGAGTGAAAGTGAGTGAGTGAGTGAGTGAGAGAGAGAGAGAGAGAAAGTAAAAGAGAGATTGCGCGTGTAAAGCGTGACGCTGAAACGGTGATATTAATTTAAAAAAAAAAAAGTGTTAAAAAAAGAGAGAGAGAGAGAGAGAAGAGTAGAGAAGAGAAAGCTCGGAGTAATTGCATCGTACGTTCGCGTGTCGAGCGCGATATTTTTATGCAAGCACGTTAAGCACAAAACGTTATCTGCATAGTATAACACATATGACAAGCGTGTCTGTATACACATATATATATATATTCATAATATTATTAGTTCGTCAAAGTGTAGTAGATTTGAATAAGAGAAGAAATAACAAGGAAACAAAAAATAGGAATGCCTGTTTAGAACGAAGCGTGTTGATGTAACACGAAACCGAGTAACAAGCTCATTTGAGAAAGAGAGAGAGAGAGAGAGAGAGAGAATGAGTGAGTGAGTGAGTGAGAAAATAGTTAAAATTGTGAATGAAATACAAGCCGAATTAACGTAATCGCTAATTGCACGATGGTTTGCCAGTAGCGTTGGCAGTGGTGTTGGTTGAGACGATGATGATGGTGATGCTGGTACCCATTGGTGGTAGTGTTGGTGGTGAATGGTAATGGTAGTGGTAGTGGTGGTAACACAGTGATTGTGCTTTCTGTTAGAAGAGGACGCGTGCCGCCGCCGTCTCCTTCGTAGACCTACTTACTCACGTATTCGAGTCAGCTAGATTTTGTACTCATTGTCAGAAGTAGTCAGCTCTGCCCCCCCCCCGCCTCCCAATCTCCCCCTGCCCTGCCCTGCCTGTCCCCCTCCTTAACACTTGTTGCTTGCAATCGACATTTGTCTGCCGCCGCTACTGTGTTTTCACCTTATGCATTTCCTCAACCCTTTCCACTTTTCTTTCTTCCTTCCTTTTCCTCTCCTTTCATTCCATCTCCATTTTCTAACCTTTTCTTCCTTTTTGCTATATCCAACCAGCAGTACCCTTATATTCCTATTTTTCCTCGTCGTGTTGCGTTTGTTGTCTGTGACAACGAGCGGTTGTCAACTCTGAAAATGCATAAAGTGAGTTGCGTTTTGTGAATCGTTTCCGCTTTTTTTTTTTTTTTTACTCGTTTCAGTATGTTTCACGTTCATGTACGTAATATGTATGCATGTGTGTGTGTGTTTATAAACGTTGCATATATTCTCCCTTTTTTTCTCTTTTTTATTTTTATTTTTGTTTTTGTTGTTGTTGTTGTTCTCTTTCGACAAGCAAGTGTTTCGACGATCTTTCTACTTGCGAAATAAACGCGGAAGGGACAGATGCTTTTTCTCTCCCTTTCAAATGGTTTCTCTTGTACAATTCGAAACGAGACACGTTTAATTCTTTTTTTGTTTTTTTCTTTTTGTTTTGTTTTGTTTCTTTCTTCTCTTCTTCTTCTTCTTCTTCTTCTTCTTTTTAAGCTCTTTTTTTTTTTTGCTCTTCTTTTCGACCGAGTCACTTCCATTGCAACGTCATTATCACTTTAGAAAGAGAGAAAGAGATGGAAAAAGAAGTGCACCACTATTCACCTACCCAAATGGATCCGATATTTTAGTCGAACATTTTCCAAAAAAAAAAAAAAAAATACAAAAAATAAATACAAAAGAGTTTCTTCACAATTTTTTTGTTTTTTTTCAATCGATCGATCCATCGATCGAAAATTTATCGATCAATCAATACAACGTTTGATGACAAATTCGTCAGTAAATATCCATTATTTAATTCGCCTAAGGTAAACATCGGCGTTGACATTTTTCGACACCTAACTGTCGAAAAATATTGGGGAAGGGGGGGGCCTGCCTAAAGGTGATTATCGTCGCATTAAGCGGACCCTCCTCTCCACCTCCACCTCCTCCATCCCATCCCCACAATCCCCTCACCCTCCTTTTACCTCCAATGTGTCGTAGATTCCCTTCTTCATGTACAGTCCGAGCGTAAACAATTTTATTTGCACGAATGTTAGTTTTACCAAAGCTTTTCGGGTTGGAGTGAACCAATGTGAGGGTGAGAGAGTGAGTGAGAGAGAGAGAGAGAGAGAGAGAGAGAACAAAAAAATATCAGAAGGATAAAGAAAAAAGAGAAGAGAAAAGAATGTCCTGTTTGATATTCGATAAATTCAACGATGATAAAGGTACACACCACCTCATATGAAAATTTGATGCCAAAAAATGTTTCGAACACACACACAACCACGAATCAACGACAACTGTCTTATTTATTCCCTCATTTTT